AATTGTTTTAGGACTTTTTGATAAAAAGCCATTCTCACTGGGGTTAGGTGATATCTTATTGTGATTTTGATTTGCATTTCTCTGATGATTAGTGACATTGAGATTTTTTTTATCTGTTTATTGGCCATTAGTTTATTTTCTTTAGAAAAGCTTCTGTTCATGTCTTTTTCCCACTTTTTAATGGGATCCTTTGGATTTTTCCTGCTGATTTGCTTGAGGATTCCAGGCTTGCTTAGAGAAGCTTCCACCCAGTAATAAAATTCAAGTGATAGGTTCCAACCCCCGGATATACATTCATAATAGCCAACAGAACAATGCTGGGCCATCACCTACCTGTACCTCTGGTACCTAAGATCACACCACTGAATCAAACAGAGGGAACTGAAATTTTACCCGTATCCAGGATACCTTTTGCTATAAAGATTTGTTCCACTGGCTAACATCATAAATAATTCCTGTCATTATTAATACTTGCTATGCAACTCTAGTGGAAAGCAAACATCCAGAAATGAAAGGAAAGAATTCCCCTACGAAACCTTGTATGCTGAATCCTGACAAGATTTTTCATCAATGGAAGAAATACATTTCATCAGTATAACCCTATGGAGAGTGTCTCATAAAGTAGTTTTTGACAAGTTGCCTACACAGGATGGGAGTCACAGGGAAGTGTGGTCTAAGGTGTGGTCTACTGGATTTGCATAAAGGCATTTCGACCTCCTTGTCCTGAGATACACATAAGTAGGTGTGTTTGTGAGGATGGGAAACAGTATATTCTGTCAATAAAATGAGGAGTAAACCATGAAGAATTTACGTGTAATAAGATAGCACACACAATATGGGGACTAGAATAAAAGTTTAAATTCCCTTTTTTATGGATTCTGGTAAAGATCTAGCACCTCTTGTATTTTCCTGGGTAGACCTGGAGCCCATTCTACTAAGTGAAGTATCACAAGAATGGGAAAACAAACACCACATGTACTCACCATCAAATTGGTATTAATTGATCAACAACTATGTGCACATATAGTAGTAATATCCATTGGGTGTTGGGCAGGTGGGAGAGGGGAGGAGGAAAAGGGTATATTCACATCTAATGGGTGCAGTGCACACAGTC